GTCACGAGCGATGGCGAAAATGCTTTGAGTGCGCCAGCCACTTGACACCAGTTTACCATGGTACCCTAATGAATCTTAGAGTATCTTAGAGTATTCTTACTGCATGTGCATTTTTAGCTGGCCCGCTATGATACCATATTATTTCAGAAATTGTAGATGTAGTGAGGTGCTCAAGCTAGTGGAGAACTGGACTGAATGGCCGGAAACCAAGAGGGGCGACGGTACGTTGTGCTGAACGTTGGGCGAGGATATTGCCGCAGATCAGTTTCAAACAGCTGTAGTTACCACTAGCACAACGATTGAAAGCTCTGGTTTCCTGATTCGTTTTCACAGCGCTTCGATAATTTAAGAGTTGGCAGGGCACTGTTCCCGCCACGCTTCACGCCATTGGCTTAGAATGGGCAGCCGCGGCATGACTTGATCCTGTGTCCCAAGGCTAGCCCTAAGTAGCTGATCGATTGCTTAAACAAACGTGTTTCGGGATTTGTTTGGGAGGTTTGTAGAAGAGGAACATTTATATGTTTAAGATTATTTAAGATGTTGTGAAGAGCATGCACCTCTTTTCACAGTTTCTGGCAACTGGTTTGATGGCGACAACAAATGTGTTCGCAAAAGAGAATGCGGGCATTTAAAAAGCAAGATGCGTGCCGGTTTAACGAATAGGCTCAATGTTCTTCCTCATTTGTGGACGCCAGACTCTTTGGTTTGTAGCAGGCAGGAGCTTCCTGCAACCCACAGCGGTCCTCAATGCAAGTTTGGGAGGAAAGAGCTACAGTAGGTCATCAATGCGCCGCAGGAAGAACAGCATCGCCCCATCACCTTGTAATAGGCTCCAAGAATCATCAGAAAGACAATGAGATGGGGTTTTCCCAGGATGACATACCAAGTGTGTTATTTGTATCAGTGAATCTGGCCTCACACTTGTGATCACCCCGCACTAGATTATATTAAATTATGCAGCATGCATCTACATCATATAGAACAATATATATATATACACATCCTGTATATATGTGTATATATCATGTCCGCTCAGCTTGGCTTTGCCAATGTTTGCTCAGCTCACCCTCGTGAAACCTACGCCGTAGCTAGCCTTCCTACCTAGCTGAAACGTATTGAAACGTAGTAATGTAGAATATGCTCAGCAAGGGAAGGGAACGAAGCAGGAAATGCCTACTGAAACAGCGATGGCCCCTTCAAGCTGAACGTGTACCTTTTCTTCTGATAACAGCCTGAAACGCGCAACAGTGCAGACAAGTAGTAACAAGCAGCTGTATGACAAAATGAGTTTGTGTTGGGATCGTTTGACTTTGAACTTGGACACCTCTCAGGAAGGGGCTCGAGGCGGGCCGTTGTGCTCCAAAGTCTCTTTTCTTTCCTGCAGTTTGCAGCTTGATGCTCCTGTTGCAATTGCTGTTGCTACTCTTTTTTTTGTCTTTTTCTGCATTGTACGAAATCATGCATCAAATCGATTCAAACCGAGTATATTTTTGCCAAGTATGTAGACCTGGTATAGCCACCTGTATAGTTAATTTCTGAGCAGGCAGTGATGTGCAGCAAATCGGAGAACACGGAGACAGCGTCCACTCTTGTGCAGCAAGCGCAGCAGCAGTGGCAGTCTACAACAGATGTGGCTACACTCGAGCTGCTTGTTTCAATCCTTTCAATCGCCAGCAGTATATATGTAGCAGATGTCAGCTTCGTCGGACATCGCGTATTTTCATGGTTGGTTGCAAAGTAAGTTGCTGTGTTTGAGGCGTGGTTGCCGGCAGCGTGGTCTTTCTGTCAAAGGCCAGGTATTTGCATTCTTCAAACATGCATCCTATCACGGCATCCCACAATTATCCAAACAGGTGGCCGCCAACAGTTGTTACATCGACTTTGCCTTTTCGAAGCCTACTGGCCCCCCGACGATACCCTTCAGAGTCCTGAGCCGAAGATGGTGAAGGAGACACTCAATGATAGATTCTTTACCTGGCCTTGTGTTTTGGTTGGGTCAATGGTGTTGAGAGGCTCGCAGAGGCCCGCGGAGCATTGCAGAACCACGTATTACAGTAGGTCAGTAGGTTTAGCTGCGGCTGTCAAAGAGTTTATTGGGCACAAGCGACATTGGCATGTGCTTGCCAGCGGCAAGGCAGAGCATCCAAGGCATGAACTACAGTGACATAGATGCTAAGAGCACCCAAGACACCACAACAATGATGCCACTGAATGTTATGTTGAACGAGCAAGCTCAGACAGATTTGGGCAAGAAGAACCTCCTGTCCGGCCTTTTTGCGCCCTTTTGTGTAGCAACACTTTACTAGTAACTAGTAGTGATGCCCTTGCTAATTCGACTTAATCCCTTTCAGATCGCAGGACCTTGGGGTTGATGGCAAGGTTGAAGCAGGTCTGGATGGTGAGTTCTGCGACTGTGGAGTGGAAGAACCGAGGCGCAGTTGCTTCACTTGAAACGGCAGGTTGGTGCAGAGTCCGAATCAGAGTTTCAGGACAATCTTGCACAGGCCTCTAGGACTCCGTGTGGTGCTTCTACCAGAGTGGCAAAGTGGTTCAAGTTCGCAGGGATCTAAACTTTCAGCTTTGCCACCCCAGGCAACTTGCATCACATTCAGGTCAAAGGAACCGATCCACACACAACAAGCTCCTCAGCCAAAGAAAGCGAAGAAGGAGCCAAGGGAGCAAGCAAAAGAGGCTGGGTGCACGGGACACTGTCGGACACTGTGAGAACCTGCTTTGGGCACTCCTGCGAGGATGCGACAAAATCAATGGACAAGGCCGAGCTTTCACAAGTGACTTCATTGTGATTTAGTATGATTGAGTTCTCATCCAAGCTGTTTGAAATTGTTGTGCAATCTCATCTCTATTGATGTTTGCAACCTTCTTTGTGGGAGTCTTTCAGGCAAATGAAGAGTAGGAACAAGTTCGGTAGCAGATCCTACCAAACGTTGAACTTCACTAACAGCACAAGCAGCACCAAAACAGAATACAATAGGACGATGGACGATCTAGCAACTTCTTGTTGATCTTCCACACGTTTTTACTGTCAGCCTAACCTAATCGGAGACAGCAGCATGGTACGCTTTGTTTGCCATGAGTCTCATCACTAGACTCTAGACCATCTCATGTGTTTCTGGTATTTTCGGGGAATGCCATGCCATGGCTAATGTCAGCGAGCATGCCGCCAATGCTGCTCATGAGCTGGGGGCTTTTGTACAACAAGAGCTCGGTGCTCACATTGTTGCTGCAACAACCAGTTGTGTTTTCTGCAAGGTGCCCTTCAAGGATATGGTCCCCTTGGGCGGTACCAAGTGTGAAGTAAAGGTCTTGGACTGCTTGCATCTCGCATGTGGTCAGTGTTTAAGGGCAATCCTGCAGACGGAAGCAGGCAAAGATGAGAGGCCCTTGTGCCCACTATGTGACTCTCAGATAAGAGAAGGTAACTACAACAAGTTCTTGTGCCATTTTGCTGAAAACCAGAGCCTTGATTTTCGCGCTGTTGGGAGCGCAGCCAACATCAGCTGCGACGAGTGTGTGGAAGCTGGACCGGCTGTTTCTTATTGTGCTCACTGTGTGAAGAGACTTTGCTCCGAGTGTAGTGAGCACCACCAAAGATCCAAAGCAACAGCTTCGCATTCTTTGACAAAATTGAAAGAGCAGCAAGAGCATTCGCTTCATCGTGCGGCAATGTGTGCCATCCATCCATACCGTGAGCTGGAATTCTTCTGTGAGAGCTGCAGCTTCATGTGTTGCAGAGACTGCATTACAGCAGAGCACGAGACACATGTTTACAAAATTCCTAGCAAAGGCCTTGTTGAGAAGCAGCGGAAGGTACTCCAAGACCACATGGAGCAACTGCGAATCCTGGGGTCTTCCTTGCAAGAGCGTCATCAACTAGTAACGAACAGTATTAAGGACTTTGAAGACGAGCACTTGTCGGCAACCCAGAGCATTGGAAATCTGGAAGCACAAGTGAAAGAGGCCCTCCAGGAGCGGAACTGGCGGAACTCTGTGTTTTGATTCAAGAAGCTTTGGATGTTCAAGACTTCAGAATTGGCATCATTATGAAGAGTAGTTGTATAACCAAAAAGTGAGGGGGAGAGAGGAGCCTCAAAGGCAACTGAGCAAAAATCGAGCTACCCAGGGTAATGTCGCAATACTCTTGGAAAAGGATATGAATGTGAAAACACACTTAGTTGATCTTAGTTGTACAAGAGTTTGGAGTCTCATGTTTCAACTAGCGGCTTGCCACCTCCGAATCAACTTCCTGAAATGATATGGGATTTTGCTGTGTTTAAACTGCTTAGCTAGGTCTAGTTGGTGAAGACTGCTGGCAGGAGCGAAGGCGCCAGATGCTTGAGGAAGTCGAGTCATTCCGGGCACAGCAGCAGGAGTCATATGAAGGGCGCCGAGCATCATTGTCATCAACCATGCTCACCCGGTGGCGTGCCATTGACTTTTTAGAGAAAGTCTTAGCTCGGGGAACCAATTGCGAAGTTCTATTACTCACTGGCTACATCTCTGCCCAACAGGTGCTAGGTGAGGACGTGCTGGCATCCAAGGTGGCAGAGCTCGCATTGGCTGCTGCGATTCACCCGGAGCAAAAGCCACTTCATTGGTCCGGAGACGTTGCTGCAGCATCAAGCGCAATCTCGAAAATGACAGCAGCAGTCTCTTGGGTACAGAAGCCGGATGCAGACACGACTGATTCTGACCAAGGTGTCGCAAAAGAGATTCATCAGCTGAAAGATTGTGAGGAAGCAAATCCTCTTAACAATCCAAAGAATGAAGTGAAAGGCAAACCATCAGCGGATTCCAGCCTTCGAGACGGCCAACACATTCCTGATTTTGCCAGCTGCCACCAGCAGGTTCTTCCAAGCAAGAAGGATACAGTTCAAAAGATATCTTTGGCAGAGACGTTGAAGAGTAAGACGACCAGGGAACCGCCAGTACCACGGCCAATCTCCCTTTTTGATGCTTTGGCCCCCCCCAAGACCACCAGCAAGCTGCAGATCAAAAGGCTTGGGGGCTCTCCAATACAAGCTTGCAGTGACAAAGAGATTAGAGAACAAGGCCTGGGTGAGCTTCGTGCAGTCCTTGGCCTGGAAGGTGATGAGCTGGGGTGCTTCAGGTCGCCATGTGGAATGGCAATTGATAATTCGCGGCTGTTTGTTGCGGACACTTTAAACTGTAGGATTCAGGTCTTCAGCAAGTACACTCTTGAGCCCCTGGGAGTGATAGGGCTACAGAATTGTGAGGTGACAAATCTGAGTGCCCCCAGTGGCTTGTGCTGTACAGAGACTGACGGGCAGACGACACTCATCGTGGTCGAGTACAACCTGGACCGGATTCTGAAGCTTCACCTCGGTCCGTCTTTGACAGCTGTGTCCGCACAAGAGCTTGCCCCCAATACCTTCTATGGTCCGTTTGGTGCTGGTTTCTCACTAGGGAGAGTAGTTGTTGCAGACTCATGCAACCATCGCTGCTTGGTTCTGACTCTTAACGGGCAGGTGCTGTTCGAATTCGGAAGTCGCGGCTTTGGCCCTGGCCAATTCGAATCTCCTGAATGTGTGGCGACGTTCCATGATGGCTGCATTGCGGTCAGCGACAAGGACAACCATAGAATTCAAGTCTTCGACGAGAATGGCAAATTTCATCATTTCATACCCAAAGATTGGAGAGCTTATTTTGACCCAGGGAGGCCTGGCTCTCTTTCAGGGCCTATGGGCATGTGTGTTGATCGGCATGACCGACTATTTGTTGCAGACTGTGGCAGTGACCGTGTGCAGATCTATAGTCGGGAGGGTGACTTCTTGTGGAGTTCGCCAAAGCCTGAATCTGCTTCTGGTGTTTTTTTCCAGTCTCCAACGGCCATGGCAGCAGATGATCAAGGACTTGTTTATGTTGCATCGGACCACTGTGTGCAGGTTTTCTGAGTGATGCAAATCTGTGTTGCAGCTTGATTCGCATTTTTTTTTTCGGTGGTTGAATGTTAGACAGACACGTGTCACGTGACCTTCCTAAAAACCGGACAGAGCTGTGTCGAACCAGCGTCGCAAAAGAGATCACCTCAGGCTCTTAGCGTGACTTTGAGATAATTGATCGGACAGACTGAAGGGCAACTATTACTTGGGAGACTGGACAACTTGAGGGAAGCAGCAAATCAAGTCAAATGAATTTGTTTTGCGAGGTGCAGTCATCAGAAGTTACTCGCCGCGAGCGCTTGCGGCAAGTGGAGGCCTGAATTGCAGTGAAGGGCCACAGTGAAGGGGCGTTTAGGTGAACTCCTGGATCAGCGACAATGGCTTTCGCTCAAGCAAGAATTATGGCGAGTGTAGAGAAAGAGCAGCCGATTACTGTAAGGATCCAGTCTATTTCTCAACTTTCACTGACCCACACTGGAACGTTCACCGAATTGTTTGCACAGCATGAACTGTTCCGTTGTGACCAAAAGGCTTAAACGGTGACTGTGCGAATCTACACGGTTTGAAGCTAATTTATCATTTGGACATGATGCTCCTGGACATCGGAAGCAGCAGTAAATCATTCGCATAGCATGGCAATGGATGGCACATCCAAAGGCTGGCGGCAACTCTGGGCACCTTGAAATGCAAGCCTACCTCCGGTATTGCGCATGATGCAATTGATATTATGTCTCAACAACCACTGAGTCGACTATCTAGCCATTCTAAGGATTACAGAGATTCTGAACGTCGAAGATGTTGCAAGTTTGGTTGCCTACTTTGTGGGGCGCAGCTGCCTGGTACAATCTTAGCAACCCATAGCATCCCATAGCCATAGGCCGCATATATGGGCTGCATAGGCCTAGCCCGGGCCCTAGACATTTAATTTCTCGGTCCTACTGCACGAGGTTCCCTGAGGCGGTTTCGCGCAGCTTGGTTGGCAGGTGCTCGTTGGGCAGCTGAGGCGGGGAAGGCGGTGTTTCATTACCCTCATCACCTATACTACACGAACTGTTGGTAACCTATTTGAGTTGCTTCATGTTGCTTCATCATTGTCACCCTGTCAAGCAAGCCTGGCCTGGAGTGCTGCCTCACCGAAAGTGAGACCAGCGTGTGAAAGTGATCACAAAAGGGTGCCTCCAAAGCTCCACTTTGATAGAAGGCAATGATTCAGTTGAGTTGGAAGGAAAGGCTCCAAAGTCATTGTCATGCTGCTGCTCTGATGATGGTCAGGCATTGCCACTGCTGAGAACAAGATGCACTGGGTCAGTATACGTGACCCGATTCTCAAGTGTGCCATATTTGCCTGGCAATTGGGATTGGGCTGTTGTTTGGACTCGTTGTATTCCTCCCAGACCCATCAATCAACACATCTTTGGGCTGTGGATTGTTGCCGACCAAGGTATGTGGCGGCTACAGCGGCGCAGTCAAGCTTCGGTCCGCTGAGCGATTTAACCCTGTTGAAGGGTCTTGGGAGATGCTGCCGGCAATGCTTCAGGCGCTTTGTTAGCTAAGCACAGCTCAGCATTCAGCAATCGCCCACCACCAGAGATTCAGCAAGCCTCAATTTGGGGCGATCTGCGAGGTACGTTCTGGTCCAGCTGCAACCTCATTTGAAGGCTCGGTACTTTGGATGAAACGTGGCATGTCAGTCTGTTTGCAAATTCCCTGCAATTACATTCACATTGGAGCACATTGTAGCACTTGATTCTTGCAGGTGAATTGTACGTTTTTGGTACTAATTCTTCCACTGGATGTGCAACAGCTGAGCGCTTCGTGCTGCTTGGAGCAAAAGAGCCACATTGGGCCACTTGCTTTTCCTAGTGCCCAGAGTTGTCAAGGCCCGCGCTTGGGCGTTGGGAAGCGATGCCGTCAATGCTTCAAGGCCGGGAACGGCCTGCCTCCGCCGCTGTTGGAGGAAGCCTCTACGTTTGCGGAGGAGTGGAGAAGGCACGGCTACGGATCAAAAGGTGTTCATGCCGAAAAGGGGCGCATGGAAGCCCAATATATAATTACGAAAGCCAGCCGATAGGCGTGGCTGGAGGCTTTGTGAGCGAACGAAGTGAGTTAAGGGGGTGTGGGGGGGAGGGGGGGCCAAAACGTAAGAAACTGAGAGGGTGAACCTTGAGCCTGCTGGGGGAGAGCGCCCAAAAGTGAGGGTCAGTCAGAAAGCACTGAAAATGAGGTAAAAATGGTGGAATGGTGATGCAATTGACGCCGAGTGGTGCATCATTAGCATCATCAAGGGCTCCAGTTAGCACTTTTCTTGCCTCGGACGGGCTGCTGGGAACGGTGAGACACATCAGCGTGCACATGAGGCTATGGTTGGGTACGAACCTAAAGCATGCACACCAAAACCTTGGACATCCTGCACCCCATCGCTTGAGTCAAGCTTTCAAAAGCAAGGATATCGACATGTCCTGGCCAAGAAGTTGGACTTCAATCAAAGAAGCTATATAGATGTTATTGACTGGAGCAGCATAGCAGGTAAAACATACCCTAGTCTATAAAATAAATGGCTTTGACTGGACCAGAGCGGCTGTTGAGGAATGATGGTTGCTTCAAAATGGAACTGTGGTAGTTGGATGTAGTTGGTTGGCAGCGACAAGTCCCTATCAGAAAGGGGCCCGTGTAGATGGCAGCTTGGTGGGGTGAAGAGCCTGCTGTTCAAGGATGGGTTACTGTATAGTCACGGGTCTATGCAATATATGTGGATGACGGTTCGTGACACCAATGCTGAGGCATATAGTTCCTGCCATTCTGTCAGTCATCCTTTCAGAGAAGTCTGGTTGGATGTATTGGTGCTAGTTAGTATGGTAGGTTGTTGGCAGCGACAAAATTCTATCAGAAAAGGACCCCGTGTAGATAGCAACTTCTCTGTGTTTTATGTCTCTGTGTTTTCTGACTCTATGCCTCTATGTCTCTATGGTTCTGTGTCTCTATGTCCCTGGGAAGAGAGGTGTAGCCGCGACTTATGGTTATATGTTGGGCGGATCAGTGGCATAAGCGCAAGCAAAGTCCCGAGTCTCTTCGCTGTCCAAGCCCTCCTCTGGAGCCTTGTCTGCTTTGGAACCTGCTCCGGAACCTTCTCCAGAACTTCCTCGTGGACCTGCCCCGCAACCTTCTCCCGAACCTTCTCTGGAACCTGCCCCGGAATCTTCTCCGGAACCTGCTCCGGAACCGTTTGCCGCACCTCCTCGCAGAATCTCCCCCACCTCAGCCCTGCAGCCGCCATCGGAAACAGCTGGCTTTCGTCCTCCCCCCTTCTCAAGGTATATATATAAATATTAATATATATTACATATACAATATTATACAGTATACAGTATACATATTGTTTTGTGTGAATTTCCTCCCAGGAAACACATGAGTCATTTCTACATGATGTCAACCATGTGTGAAAAGGCTTGAGTGCCTTCCGGGCATCGATTGGACTTCGTGGGCCAGTCGTTCGAGGAGTTGTTGCACTCTTTGTTTACATTGAGGTTTCAACATTGTGCATTGTTGGTTTGCTACCGCAACTCTTGTTGTTGGTAGCGGAGCCCTACGGGCCGGTCGCATAGCTTGTTAGTTGATAGACAGGCAGCAAACGGTCCAGGGACATCGACCGCATCAGCAGGTCCGCAACAAGTTCTTTCCGGAGTCAGCGCAGCCAAGTTTGACAATTGAATTTCAGTTTTCAGCAATCAGATGCAGGATTATCCAGAGTTTCGCAAACGTTGTGAAATTTACCGGAAGAAAATGCAGCTTGGCAATAGGTTGTTTGAAGTTGTGTACAACTTGGTCACATTGATGACCGGCAAGGCATGGGACTTGGTGGAGGATATGACGATGGAACAGATGCCGGGTGCATGAAGATGCTTACAATTTGCTGTTTGCACGCTTGGATCGTGGGTTCAAATACGATCCCATGACAGAGTTGCCGGATGATTTTGAGCAGTATTTTGTTCCATTGCAGCGCAAACCACAACAAGCATTACACTGCACAGGACTACATGAATGACTACACCAGGTGTGAACGCCGCTTGCAGGTGACACATTCTGTGGATCCTTCGTGCACGGTGGTTCCTTCGCAGATCAGGAATCACAAAGGAGCAAAGGCAATTGATATTGACGAACGCCGGAGCAACTGGGTTGTCGATCGAAGAAGTGATGAAATCCATGACTTTCATTTTGGGTCAGGACTCGACATTGCAGAGCTCCCCATCCACCAGATGGTGCTCCAGGAAAGCCATTCGATGGTTCCTACTACTGCGATCTCCAATATGAATGGGCAGCTGAACCGGATGACGTCTTGGATCCCTCCCCAACCAATTGTGGAGAAGATGCAGGGCAGGGCGACTGGTATGATCCCTCCGAAACAGCCGATGAGTTTTCATATGCTGGTGGTGAACAGTGCTATGATGTTGAAGAATATGATGAATTGTTCGCCAACTATCAAGACGCCAAGGCCAAGATGAATGCTCTTCAGAAGTCACGAGGATTGACGAGGATTTTACCCTGTCGTGGCTATGCCTCCATCGGCTCAGATGTCACCCTAAGTCTGCTGATGACCTAAATTTACTAAATTTGTAGATTTACAAAAACTGATGAAATTAGGTTGTTTTTACCTATTTTTTGTAAATGTACATTTTGAAGGAATCTATGCAGTTCATCAAAAGTTCTTCAAATGTTCTGCAAAAACTTCTCCCAAACTTAGTTGTGGATAAGTAATGCTTACTTGTGTCCAAGGTTCTCAGCTATGATTTTTTCTCAATATCAAGTCAACTTGTACTTGTGGATTGCTTGTGGCCCTGGTTCTCATGTATGACTTTTTGCTTGTGGATGACTTGTGTCCAAGGTTCTCAAGTAGGACTGTGGAGCATACTAGTACTTTGGCCAAGGTTCTCATGTATGACCTTTACTTGTAGAGCCAGAGACACCAGAGAAGGTGAGCGACCAGGAGGAGGAGAAGTCAGAACCAGAGAAGGATGCGGGAGAGCAGGGGGAGATGGAGAACCAGACAGAAGAGGAGGAGAAAGAAGAGCACAATGAGGAGGACCAGACAGAAGCAGAGAAGAGGGCAAAGAATGTGGAGGCAGAGCTTACAGAACCAGAGGAGGGCCAGGGAGATGAGGGCAAGGGGTCATCCAAAGATGTTAAGAAAGAAAAGAAAAGGCCGCGCAGGAGGACCCAACACCCCCCTCCTCAGAATCATCGATGTCGCCGCGTCGCCCAGGATGAAGAGGCAGGATGGGTCAACATTTGTACATTCATGATTCATTTGTGTCTTTCT